TCTCCATCCCGTCTCTCTCCCTTTTTCCGTCTCCTCCCTCTCAGTCTCTCTTCACCCTCTCAGTCTTCTCTCCCTCTGTCTCTCTCCCCTCACAGTTTCTTTCTCCCTGCTCAGTTTCTTTCTCCCTCTCAGTTTCTTCGCCCCTCTCAGTTCTTTCTCCCTCTCAGTGCTTCTCCCTCTCAGTTTCTTTCTCCCCTCTCAGTTTCTTTCTCCCTCTCAGTTTCTTTCATCCCTCTCAGTTTCTTTCTCCCTCTCAGGTTTCTTTCTCCCTCTCAGTTTCTTTCTCCCTCTCATTTTCTTTCGTCCCTCTCCCAAGTTTTTCTCCCTCTCGTTTCTTTCTCCCCTCTCAGTTTATTCTCCCTCTCAGTTTATTTCTTCCCTCTCAGTTATTTCTCCCTCTCCGTCTTTCTCCCACCTCTCTCTCCCTCTCTCCGACTGTCTATATTCTGTGAACTGTGTATGACTGTCTCTCTATTTGTTGGTACTCTTGTCTATATCTCTCTTTGTCCTGACACTGTCTCTCTGCCCTTGTCGCCGCCTGTCCTGTCGTCTCGCCTACCCCGCATCAACCGGCAACCGCCCAGCAACAATGAAGTCAAGAGATGGATTGGGAATTGTATTTAATTTGCAGCGCCATTTTAGTGGAATTACAACAAAAATAAAACAACAGAACAAGAAACCTCAACGAAAGAATCCACGTATGTGTTCCGCCACTTCATGATATATATATATAATATATATATATATATATATAGATATAATATATATATATATATTATCAATCACACAAAGAAGTTACATGTAAAGAAGCATAAATAGTATTGTTTAAGTGAAAAGAAAAATAATAACAAAATATTCAGAAGAGTTGTCGGTATGACTTACACTTGGATGAGGCTTCAAATTTCATCTATATCTGTTGTCAAGAAAGCAAATGTAAATACTAATGCAAGCACTAGTTCGCCCATTTTTTTCTAGCTGAATCCCTGCTTCCATATTCAGTTTTTTGTTGGCATGGATTACAAGATGGTTAACTTTCTGTCTTTTAGTGAAAGGCCACAAGTTATAAAACCAATTGGGAGCTGGCGTTCTGTCATGGAAGTTTGTTCTGTTCTGAGAAATACTATAAATGCAAGTCGAAAAACAATTTTACCATTAACTATGAAAAATTAGGTAATGAAGGGAATCGTGTCTTCCTATTTTTTTCACATTTCCCACTAACCGCATGACAACTTGCTAACTTATTTCTTACTACTCTCCCAGTATACTTTTAGACATTGTGTGTCCCAAATTCTTTCACAAAAACCTGCGATTTAAAGTTTCAATTTTAGCTTCCCTAAACTAATTTGGGCCCAGCGTATTGAAAAACGTCATTCGAGAAATTTAACCGATTATTCTGAAGAAGAAATAATAAATCCGCAAATACTCACTAAATGTTTTGCTCATATTTTCGGTTTCCAAAATATCAAGCCTTTAATTACTATTATATATAACAACAAAGAAGAATTTTGTGGAACCATAGCCTTTCATTAAACCAAAATAGTTTTTACTCATAATTAAAACTTACTGGCTTTTCCCCAGTCGTGTTTAAAGTCGACTATCTTGTTACGACGTTCTAAAGGCTACAAAAATGTAGAAAAATGAACGAAGATTACACTTTTCCAAACATCCTGTATGTCTGTAGGGAAACGCACCGATCAAGACACCAAAATGAATGAATTAGATTCACGAAAAACTGAGTAAGTAACAAGTTCAGACCCGCGCATCCGGTAATCTGAAGCAATTACGAAATCTATTGCCGTTTCAAATGTAACGGAACGTAAGTATAGATTTCAGAAATGTCAGTAAATTACATGTTAGTCTTTCACAGTGACCTTTGTAAGAAGATTCGTCTTGAAAATAAAAGTGGAAAAAATTACAATAACCAAGAGTTGTTTTTGTTTTTTCTTGTCCTTTTATACCTAATTACGTATTTGTTTTTACCTCCATTCGCGAGTAGGAATTTAATTATATAATCGCTCTATTTTGCAGAAAAATTTACTTTCTGGCCATTTACAAAATAGCTCATAAAATGTTGACTGAGATAAAGTTGAGTTGAAATTGTTCATTCCCATTAGGTAGGTAAGCTAACAACGATTTCGGTTATCAAAAGATCTTGAATCCACCTTCGGTGCGAGTTTACTTGATGTATGAAAAATAGTTTCTTTGTCATTTTCTTCATAAACAAGATGATTTCAGAATTCATAACATTGAAAGTGTTTTTGAATTTATCATCGTTTATGTATTACTATTGTTCGAATCAACGCGCACTTCTGCTGCGGAATGTTTTCCTTCTTATTGGAGACCTCCGGGGAAGTATTATCAGTCCGCCCAGCACTTCAGGCCAGGCAAGAGATCCATGCTCGTCTTCCCCTTGGCGTCAGCATTTCATGCTATGCGAACGGGAGATCTACTTTACAATAGTAAATTATGGAGAGACGGTTGATGATGCGCAAAAACCCCTTTCGAAATGCTTGGTGACGCATTTCACCTATCTGAAAACGCTGCTTGAGTCGCTCGGCTTCTATAATGTTTAGCTGATTTAGATCGTTTTGCACAATGTTTGTATGCGGCTAGAGGAAATCGTATTGCGTAGCGGTATGCTTTGGCTTTTTCAAGGGAGCGAAGGTTTTTGAAACTTATTATTTAACTCTTTTTCGTTTTTGACGGTTTTAAGTGCGAAGGAAATACCGTCAATAAAATTCGTAATTATTTTTGCGGCAATTTTTTTTTTTTTTTTTCTATTACCAGAATATCGTTTTACCCGCGCATATTTATAGTGAACATACGAAATTCCAAGTCGTTCAATTGAATCTACATTTGTATCTGTTCAATTGATATGTTTACCCCAATTAATTCTTTTTAAATATTTCTGAATGAGCAGGAGTGGAAGACCAGTTAATAAAATATGAATCCAATGTCATATTCGTTAGAATGCATACACTTATTGTGAATCAAAAGTTCGGATTTACCTTGGCTGAAATACACTTCCAGTTTGGTGCCGCCCCCACCCCTCATCGGTGATACTGGAATCAAGTAGGTGTTGGCCCCACCTTTAGCCTTGATACAGCGTTCCACTCGTTCGCAGGCATACTTTCAATCAGGAGTTGGAAGCGTTTCTTGGGGAATTTCTTTCTTTCTTTCTTCACGGAATTGCTGCACTGAGGAGAGCTATCGATGAAGTCTGAGGCCCTTAGCACGAAGTCGGCGTTCCAAAAACATCCAAAGGGTGTTCGGAGTAGGATTCAAGTCAGAACTCTTCTATCTGTGCAGCTCAATCATACAAGATGATATTGTTCGGTAACCATTCCGCACCATCCCAGTAGGAGTAATGAACGATCGATCGTGTTTAGATGATGCAATCGCCCATCACCGAATGTGCTCTCAAACAGCGGAAGCAAGATGTTAAAACATCCAGGAGGGCCTGTGGCCGTGATAGTAGCCACTCCAAAACAACAAAGGGGTGCAAAGCGGCCTCGTATGTAAAAACACGACCATTACCACAACACCATATTGGAGGTCTTTCGGCGTACTTTTGTCACATAGTAGTATTTTCGAAATTGTTCTATTACTCAAGTTGGACTCGACGCCAGTTGTTGCGCAGTATCTTGTGTGACGCTGCGCCTAGTGTTTTGTGTGTCTCTAACCCTGCGCAGCTCCAGCCGGCAGCAGCGCAACAAGGCGGAGAAGCAGCGCCGAGACAAGGCTTCAAACAACTTTCATCACCCGGAGCTGGCGACGCTGGTACCCACCCGGTGTCCGGTCCTCCCCAAGCGCCTCGACAAGGACGTCCATTCCTGCCGCCTCAGGCCGCCAACTTCCTGCCGCACCTCGCGATGCGCCGGTGAGTTTCGCGCTCCCAGCTCAAGCTGCTGAGGCGAAGAGATAGCATCCTGCCTGGCTTAGTTTATCTCTATTCTGTCTTGCCTATCTTCACCTCGCCCTCCTTCTCCATATTCAGTCTTACCTCCTCTCCTTCCCTCTCTTCCTCCTCCTTATCTCTCTTCCCCTTCTCCTTCCCTCTCTTCCTCCTCGCTTCCCTCTCTTCCTCCTCCTTCCCTCTCTTTCCTCCTCCTTCCTCTCTCCTCTCCTTCCCTCTCTTCCTCCGTCCGTCCTTCCCTCTCTTCCTCCTCCTCCTTCCCTCTCTTCCTCCTCCTCCTTCCTCTCATTCCTCCTCCCTCCTTCCCTCTCTTCCTCCTCCTTTCTTTTTTCTCTTCCTCCCTCCTTTCTTTTTCTCTTCCTCCTCCTTCTTTTTTCTCTTCCTTTCTCCTATCCCCTCTCTTCCTCCTTCTCGCTTTTCCCTCTCTTCCTCCTCTCCTTCGCTTACTTTCTTTCTTTCTCGTCTCCTTTTTTCT